TAATAAAAACATAGTAAGTGGACTCAAACTTTTGGAAGCAACTGTATAGTATATAAATATTTAATAAGTATATATATCTAGTTTAACAAAGAATTAAAAAAAAAAGTAAATAATTTTTTGAAAAATTAATTGATTTTTTTTTTTTCAAATAATTTAATTTGAAATTTATTAATTTTAAAATAATTAATAATATTAAATTATTAATAATAATTTTTTAAATCAAAAATTAAAGTATAAAATCAAAAAGAAATAAAATATTTTTTTAAATTGAACTTAGAGTATTTAGTTTGAACTTAATTTTATTTGATTCAAATTGACTTAAAAACTTTATCCTTTTAATAGTTTATTTTTTATGATATTGATTTAATTTTATTTATTATCAAATAAAGATAAGCTATAATAGCAATAGTTGTGAATTAAAAAAAAAAAAATTCGTAATAATAAAACCATTTAAATTTATTTCAAAAAAAAAAAAGTTTAAATGTATTTATAATAATAATACATAAAAATGATAATATTGTTCTATATAAAAACTTAAAATATTTATTTGATTATTTTTATCTTAATTTATTCTTGATTAAATAAGTAATTCACAAATCATTAGGTCTATTACTATAATTACCGTCATTGTTAATATTTCTTTTCTTTATTATATAAATGCATGCAGGAATCTGTATAACACGGGTCATTTTATTTTGCTTGAATATTGAATTCTCCTTCAAAGATGCTATTGTCACAGCAGAAGTTCACTTTAAGCGTCTAATTTTTTTTATAAACTTTAAAAAATTGACTTGGATCCGTCGACAAAAGTAAGTTAAGTTATTATTGCAAAAAATTTTATAAATATCCAAAAAATTTATTCAATCTAACCATTATCTAACAACCCATACTCAAACAGTTTTCTATATCTAGGTGCTTGATTGCAACATCTTACCATAATTGCTCTAGAAAATATGCTGCCGAGGTCTTTGTGAAGGATCAATATGTTCTATTTTTATGCTTTCTCCTTAATTTAAATATTTCCTAAATAATTTTATCATTAATCATTATAAAGATAAATTGTAAAAATATATATTTTTTTTTAACTTCGCATTCATTTGCTACCAAATCGATTATTATGGTTTAAAAAAAACGAAAGAATACCTTTGAATAATACGAAACATCAAATTTAAACGGCATTGAACCAAAATTTGCCTCAACACATTCTCCCTTACTAATCAATCCAATCACCGGATACAATTCCCCGTTAATCACATTATTAAACGCAATTCCTATAGCAAAAAACTGTCAAAGAGGTATTTCGAGAAAAAAAGTAGAAATTTAAATAACTTACCCAAGTTTATGCCGTTCTTCGTGAAAAAGATAGTATTATCATAAAAATTTATACCACATCCTATTGTATCACCAGCCGAGTATAAAGGCCCGTAATCAGATCCATACCCCTTTTGGAACGCTAGACCATCATCACCATGGTATCCGTATGAAATTGGCATCCAACCTAATCACGTATTGCAAAGAAATATCATCGAATAGATATTAGATAGTCACATTATGTAGTTGTGAGGAACATAAATGACAATTTGAAAAGGAACCTGGCATCTGGTTAAGCTGAACACCCTTTTCCGTAAGTCCAACTCCGATATTTCTAAGATAATCGACCAAAAATTAATATTTATTAAAACATATAAAAAATATATGTGTATATAGAGAAAATTTACCCACGATGACCTTTGTCAATAATGTTGATTTCAAAGTAATAAAATCCCACTTCGGGAGGGATAGGATGATTCGCCCTAATGGCTGCAGCATCCCTCCAAATGTTAATACCTGGCCCTATTTATTTCAACCAAAATAAAAATGGCTTAATCAATAATAACATTGAAGTTTATTGCTTATATTCATCTAATATGAAAACTTGGAATCGAAATTGTAAAAAAAACGATTATTAGAAAGAATAGAGCTTTCACATTAAGGATGAAGGAATTAAATATGTACCTATATATTCAATTCGGAGTCCATTACTTAAGACTTGTATATGTTCTAAAGAATCATCTTTGTTCCATTCGGTTGGTAATTGCTTGAAATATTTAGGGAACATACAACTTTGCATTAATAGGGCATTGGGAAAATAAGATGGAATAAATGGTATCGATTCGGTATATATTTCATCTTCAGGTGTCATGTATTCATCTTGTTCAGTCATTTTTATACTAAACAATTCAAATATAGACCTCACGGAAAGAACATCGTTTCCATAGCTCCGAACTCCGAACCGGAATTTATTGATATTCTTTTCAAAAACGTTAACCAATCATATACATACTTATTAAGAATTAATTACGTAGATATGCATGTTGAAAATTAATGTTTTAATAGATTTTCTCGAAAAAATTTTGGGGTATAGTATTACGCATTATTTATAACACCAAACCTAGTTTTTTTGCATTAAAGTAATTCATGATTATTTAATGTTATAAAATACTAATATTGTAAATTACGTTTGTAAATACAAGGGATACTTAAATTTAATAATGATATACTGTATACCTTATTAAATATTGACTTCTACAATCCATAAAATCTGAGGAAATTTTAAACTTCACTTTCGAATCACCCTTTCTTCCATCTTCCCTTTAGAATCTTTTTAATATTCTTTATAAACTTCACAAAACGATTCTTTTTACTCTTAGTCTCAGTTACTTCTTTTTCCATCCCATTCTCCATTTCATTTTCTGAAATTTTACCAAGCTCGTTCAGCGCGTTATCGATCTTATGAATCTCCTCTTCTTCTAAATTCGTTTTCGGGATAAAATTCGTAGGAGTATTTGACGGCACGTTAAGGATATCGGAGGAATTTGCACTTTCGGCAATAACTCCCTTATTCTCATTTGAACCTTCACCACTACCGCCTAAATCGTCGTTACCTAAATTTTCCAGCACTTTGTCATCACTTATTAATCCGTTTATATTTGAAGGGCCACTCTTCAAGCCATCTTCATTTGGAGTCGCTGAAGAGGATGGTTGCGGTGCTTCTTCTTCGATTCTCATTCTAAAAAGAATGTACAAAGAAAAAATTATAATCTTTTTTTAATAAATTTGGAAATAATGGTCACAACTCACATAATGTTAAATCTTTTTATTTATGAATAAATTTAGTGAATTTCGCAGGAGAAAAATATGTTGGAGAAGACAATGAAAATTTGATCAGGAAATTCCAAATACATTGAATCGCTGTTTAAAATTTTGGACGAATTGATTTGGTTTACATTAACTCGTACGAAGTAAAATATATTAGTCCCTATCAGGCTGTATTATAAATATTACAAATTCGAACTCAATCATATTGCTGTTCAGGAAATGTTTTTTTACAACTCGAGGTATTAAAAAATTAATGAAAAAGAAGCACGGCATTGAAAAAAAGATTTTGCCATTAGCCGATAAATAATTTCTGGGCAAACAATTATTAACCATAAGTAAGTAATCGAAAGAAATTATACGTTATTTCTCTTACTAGTAGCTGACATGTTAAATATCATTTGTTAAAGAGTTAAAACTGAAATTATGATAAAGTAAAAAGTTATAAATATTTATTGATGTAAAACTTAAAATATGGGCTGCTAGAATTAGAAATTCTAATTCAATTTATATTTTAACAGCAAATTTTATATTATTTAGATATATATATATTTTTTGCTAACTCACAATTATGCCATGATGGCTTGTCTTTATTGAGAAATTGAAAAAAAATTTAACATTAATTTACAGATTTTCACAAAGTGACTAACTCATTATCATACAAAGTGTTCTAAATTAGATTCTGGAAATAATATTATACTCTTCTAATATAATTGGATTAATTAATATCTATCAGAATCATTGCCAATAGTTTATTTTATTTTATTTTTTTTTTTTTTTGCCCTCTATCAGGCTAGTTACATATGCTTTATTAAACATTTGTAAGCTATACATATAACATGAAATACTAAAGCTAATTATTTAACTAACTCACTTGTTTTAATTGGTTTATTTTTCTAAGTACAACTTCGGGAGTAATTTATTGTTTCATTAGAAGTTTAGATAAACACCCTTCCAACTTTTAACATCATTGTTTGCAAATTACTATTGCAGATCATTCTTTTGAGTTCTGACAGAGATTAAAACCTAACCATTTTATTTCATACTTTACCTTATCTCGTAGAACCTGTTTGAACATCATATTTTCTAATTATTCTTTCCTTAATGATACTGAATATGACCAATTTCCTGATACCTTGATCTTGTTTTTTTGCTTCTATAGATATATCAGCCTTTTGATCTTGTTACCTCTGTCAATTTTGAACTTCCATTTCTACTCTATCACCTTTTCATATCTGACATTCCAAATTTTCTTTCTGAAGTGGTTATATATTTTCTTATATATCTTTATTATTCACTTTCTTGTTTCTTTACTAATTCTCTTTTCATAGCACTTTGAGTCTATTATCTCATCTATTAGATTTTTTTCAATCAGTCCCATGCAGAAGATAAGTACATTCTAATCAATATTTGAGTTCTTTTCACTAGTTGTGCTATTTTCTTATCTATTTCTCTTTTTTCTATTCTATTATCAACTATCAGACTTATCTCTTTTTCTTCTAACTCTTTTTTTCTATCTGCTAAAAGTTTTTTGAAACCTTATATCATATCTTTCATACCCTTCTGTCAGACTTCTTGCCACTGAGTTTTGTATGTTAGATATTCTAGTAAATATTCTATTGTCTCTTCTTACTGTTTACATATAAGAATTTTACTTGCTTATATAAGTCTAGTCTTTTTTATGACTAGCTTTGTTAATATAGGTAGCTCATTACTGATCATCTTAACAAGAAAGCTTTTTCTTTATAATTCTTTGAAAAAGATATTTCATATCTACCCATTATTCATTTGTTTTCAAACTAGATCTCATGTGTACCTGTGCTAGTCTTAAATTTGATAACCTCACTTTTTGTTTATTCTATTTTGAATTGATATGTCATTATTTTGATATTAGTTTTTTTAACAAACTATCTTATTGGAATATTTAGTACTATATCTTACTATTTGATTTCAGTAATAATCTTAAATAAGTTTAGATTTTGTTATTTTATTATTGGAAACTTTAATACTTCTTTAACTAAAATATTTGCTTCCTTGTTGTATTGAATATTGAAGTGTACTTTGATCTTGATAAGATTTAGATCCAATTATTTTTTCTTTATCAGGCTTAATATTTGTACTTACAATGATCAATTTTGTTTCTTTAGTCATCTTTTGTAGATTTTTTTGAGATCTTCTTTTTCTATAGATTTCTATTTGGAGATATAGACTTGGCTGTCAATGTAGATCTTAACCTTGTTATTAACTGATACTACTAGTAATATGGTAACTACCACTACTAGTTTTGCTCATGTAGATGAAACCAATTAGCTACTCTTGTTTAGAACTTGCTTTTCCTTCCTACTTCTTCAATTTGTATTTATGCCATATTCATATTTATATTTTTATTTCCATAATTAACAAGGAATTTATCAGAGTAAAAGGTTATTGTGTTATTGCTATTATTTCCTTGTTATACTTGAGTATTTCAATCAAATGAATTTGATATATGCATTCTTTAATATTCTTTTTAATGAACTTTTCCTTCCAGTCTTCTATCTCTACTACTTCCAGTTGTCTTCTATTATATTGTACAGTTATTGAGTCTATATGGATTATTTTACTTATTGTTCTCTCTAAAACTACCTTGAAACAAGGAATTTTTAAAAGTTAAGCTCTCCTTGCAGATTTTTTAGTATTAATATAAAAAACCATATATGTTTGTTTTATGTTTGATTCTACTATATATCAGTTTTTAGCCTTGATTCCTTCTGGGTAGCCCTGGCATCACATCAGGTTTGATTTTAAGTTTTCTTTAGAGCTGTTACATTTGAAATAATCTATTTTAATACATCTTTGATTGTTATCTAAAATTAACTTTCTTCAAACAAGTTGTCAATGCTAATTATTGCTCTTGATAACTATCCAAAGTTTTTGTTTTTTATTAAGGTTGAAATTAAGTACTAGATATTTTGAACTCCACTTTAACCAATCTTCTTTTCAAGATCTTATTAGTTGTCCTAGCTTATTTTCTCATATCTCTCTTGTTATTGACAAGTATAATTCTAAAATAGGTTCCTTACTTGTCTTTTGTAAGAGTTAGAGTTTTTACTAGTTCCATATTTCTCTAGTTTTATAGTTAATAAGCTGGTCTATATACACCAACTTATTGTGTTTGAATAATAAAATGGCTTTACTATATTCATCTGTTATCAGATAATTTTTAATTGAACTATTTTTGATACTTAAATTGAAGATATCACTTCACTTCCAGCTATGGAAGGTTATCTCTATATCTTTGATCAATTTTAATACTTGTAATATGAAGTTGCTCCTTCCTGAAAAATAGTTTAGTGAGTTACATACAGTATACTGTAAACAGATTGAGAAGTTTCCAGTACTTAATCTGTGATTGCTTTAATCTGATAATTGTTAAATTTCAGTTGGCTCTAAGTCATTTAACCTATTGCACAATCCTGTTATCTGACTTTCTTTTTGCAACATCCAAATACTCTTTAAATTGTAAATTCTAGAATGGTGTATTATACTATTA